ATTTAATTGCTTAGTTTGTGGTTTTTTTCATAATTGGAAATTTTAAACATGTCTTAAAATTTCTGCTCTTTGTTAAGAATGTTTACAAGACATGTCTTCTAAATTTGTATACTGTATTACTATGATTTATTTTTTACACTTGTCTTTCTTTAATACACGTGGAGTTTATTTTTTTGTATATAATGTAAGATAAACTGTAATTTTTTTCCCTAGATGATAACCAGTTTTGTAATAATTGTTTAAAAAAAATTATCCTTCCCTGTTGAACTAAAAATTAAGCTTTGACTTGTATATTTTCTTATGTGGGCTGATATCTATATATTTAAAATTTTTTATTCTGTTCCAGTCATTAGTGTGTCTATTCCAATGCCAATGCATAGGAATTGATTTGAGTAATGGCTTTTCAATATATTCTGATACCTAAGTGGTGAAATCCACTTTTGTTTTTCTCCTTTTGTTCAGTTTTCTTGTTGGTTCTTGGACTTCCTGCTTTATAATTTTAAGATCCTATTTTTTAAATTAAAATCTTTTGGTCTTATTTCTCAGTACAGTTATTTATAAATTTTGTTAAAAAGTTACAATTGTGAATGAAATATTTTTACCATTTTTCTATGTGTTTCCTGGTAAATGAGGGAATTTTTAAATTAATTTTAAGTGTATTGTGTCCTACTTCTCCTTAATAATTTACTAATTTCAGGTTTTTTTTTTACTAGAATAGCTTTCATTTTCTAGGTATTCCACTAGATCATTAGCAGAAAGATATTTTTCTCATTCATTCCAGTATTTATACCAGTTAATTCATTTTCATGTCTTATTAGCTTGCTATAATCTTCAAGTCACTGTTGAATTATAAAGGGGTTAGTGAGCTTCCTCCTCTAATTCCTAATTTTATTCATTTGATTTTTTGAATGAGTAATAACAGTCATATGGTTAAAATAAAAATAAAGTTCCCAGTGAAGTCTCCTTCCCACTCCATCACTAAAGTGTCCAGTTTCCACCTTCTACTCAAAGTAACCACTGTCATTGGATCTCTTCCACATTTCATCAAGTTTCCATATAGAAACAAGTTCTTGATATAGATATATACATAAATGCACTTACATATGTACTGTATTTATTTATTTATTGTGTATGTATATGTAATCATTTTATTTGAAATGTTTTAGTGTTCTGCAGTTACGATACTTGCTAGTGTTCTGTTTTCCAGAAATATTTAATTTTTTTCTATTCTTTTCCATGGAGTTATTAAAAATGGCTGCTGAGTTTTACCAGATGTCTTTTTAGCATCTGTTGACAATATATAATCATGGTCAAAAACTATTATTTTGTAGTTGTATAATCTTTCTTTTATCCTACCAAGTTCTTTTGACCTTAAAATTATACCTCGACATTTAACATTTCTCTGCAGTTACTTGAAAACAAAATACTATTTTCCCCAAGAAGATGCTCATTTTTTTTCCTGGTGTCTCCTTGACCTTGAACAGATGAGACCTTTAGAGTACCTTCATTTTCTGCCTCTCCCCCTTTTTCCCATACCCTTGTCTTGCCAGTGAGATCTTGAGGGTGCTTTTATTTCTGCCTACCTCCGTTCTACAGGCCTACGGCTCTTTGAATAGTTAAGCACATCTTGTAGAGAAATCTATTAAAGTTTTTTTAATGATATAGTCCTTTTGTTTCAAGAGTCCTTATTTCTAAGTTATATATTATACAATATCTAAGACATTATTGTTACTTTAATGTATTTTATGTAATATGAGCTGAAATTTTCATTGCTTATAATACCCTTCTTCATCTTCCCTGTTACCACATCTGTATTATGGTTTATGTTTTCTTAGACCCCATTCTCAATTATTTTTCTCAGGTCAGGTACATGAGAAAATGTCTTCTTGGAATTCTTGCATATTTGCAGTTTATAAAATATGCCAAAATAAACTTTATTGGGACAGAATTCTTTTCTCTGTGTCTGTGAATGTTAGGCAACTCTCTCTTTTTGTTTTTTAAAGTACAGCAGATGAGAAGTCCAGTGAGGAGCTGATTGTTTATCTTTTATAGATTACTTGCTTTTTTTTGTAGCTCAGTGCTTGGATGTAGCCATCATCTTATCCCTAATACCTTCTGATACACTTTTTTGTTGTTATAATGTTCTCCATTTTTTATTGTGGTAAAAAATACATAATGTAAATTTTACCATTTTAACCATTTCTAAGCATACCAGTGGCATAAAGTACATATACACTGTCGTACAGCCATCACCCCAACCATCTCCAGAACTTTGTCATCTTCCCAAACTGAAACTCCATACCATTAAACAATAACTGTCCGTCTCCCTTCAAACAATCCCCTTTCAAGCACCATTCTACTTTCTGTCTCTCTGAATTTGACCACTCTAGGTATCTAATATAGGTGGAATTATACAGTATTGACCTTTTCCTTATTTAACTTAGTATAATGTTTTCAAGGTTCATCCACATTACTGTGTCAAAATTTCCTGCCTTTTTAAGGCTGAATGATATTCTACATATGCACTTAACTACATTTTGTTTATTCAGTCATCCGTCAGTGGACATTTGGGGTTATTTCCACCTTTTGACTGTTGTCAACAATGCTGCTGTGAACATGGGCATACAAATATCCTTTCGAGTTTCTGCATTCACTTCTTTTGGGTATATTCCAGGAAGTGGAATTGCTGGATGTTGTGGTAATTCTATGTTTAATTTTCTTTGGGACCCACCATGATGTTTATGTAGTCACTTCACAATTTTCCATTCTCACCAGCAGTACATAAAGGTTTCATTATCTTCACCTTCTTACCAATGCATATTTTCTGGGGTATTTTTTTGATAATAGCCTTTCTAATAGGTGTGATTTTAATATACATTTTTATTTCATTCTTAAATTTGTTTTTAAAACAATTTTAAAAAAATCTGTCCCTTGTACCAGATGGGCCCTGTGACTTTGAATCTCATAATGGAGAGCTCATAGCACCTTACTTGCTTGATCTGCTCTCTGTAAAGTACATATTTTTTAATATTTTAAGCCCATTTATATCTGAAATATACATGACATGAATTCAGTGATAATTTAGATTATCAGTGATAGATTCAGTGATAAATTTGCAGTTACGCAAGTCTGTATCAGTGACTTAATCTCAGTTTCCTCATCTCTGAAATGAGGTTCTTTGGCGATTGACTCCCAAGATTGTCTGATTCAGTCATAGCATGGGTCCTTACACTTACAGAATAAAGGTCAGGTCGCTGAGAGGCATGTGCCAGGCCTCCATAGATTGTGGAAGTTCTCCCCTTCTAGCCTGTCTACTCATCATGCATCCATGTTAAAGACCAGCAACACAGTCCGCTTATTCTCTAAACATACTCATGATCTCCTTGAACTGTTGCTTCTTCCTGGATTCTTCCCCCCACTGATTCTCATGTCCCTTCACACCGTGGTTTGGTGCAAGTCTTATTCTAATCTTCAGGTAACAGCTGAGATCTCACTTGAAGAAGGCCTCCCAATTCTCTGTAACCTAAATTAATTTCTAAATTGTTACTCTCTTAGACCTTGTATTTGTAGTCTTAGCACATTATACGTCTTATTAGAGAGGGTTTTATATGCGTGTGTGATTTGTATTCGATCCGCCCCCACAGTTTGGTATGTTCCTACACAGATGGGAACCTATCTTATGCATATTATGATCATGTGCCTATGTCAGGGCAAGTAGCTACTTGGTATATTTTAACTGAATTTGAGAAAGTGAAAAATGTATATTGACCAGTAATCAGTTTTGTGGCTTGGTGTTGCTGTTTTGCTTAGGGCATGCAAGCAGCAGCAGTTTCAGTAGGTATTTTTTGTACTTTATATCTACTTTTTTAGGACAGGTATTTCTTAAGCCAGCAAGAAAATGAACTACAACAGGAACTTCATTAAAGCTACAATTTAGGATATGCAAATGTGAAAGGTTTCTAACTTTACCCTGTACATTTTGCATATATCATTAGTCACTGTTAGATACTTTGGTCTTGCTTAATATAATTCAGTGCTGAATGTGTATTTTAATGTGAGAGTTTTTGACGTCAACATTTTTAACTTTCATCTAATTTATAATCTTAATTTTGAATTAATGGAAAGAGTTGCCTCTGTAGATTGTGGTTGAAACTGCTAGGTTCAGACAGTAATAATATGTGATCTTTAGCTCCTAAACCGTGAATAGTAGATTTCGCTTTTTGTTAAGATCTGTATCTGAACTGAAAGGGGTCAAGGCGTCTGAATGGTGACTAAAGCAGTAGAATGCTAATCAGAAGAAAGCAGTCCTAGACTCACTCCTTATTAACTCACACTGCGTTCAGTAGTCTAAATGCAACATGGGTATTCATCTCTTTTTTTAAACTGGTAGTTATCACCCCTGCTACTTGATAGTTTGCAAAATGCTTCATTACCACCATTTAAAAAATGTTTTAACTTCTTGTAGCTCTTTGAAGTACTTATCTATTATCCCTGTTTTATAGATGTGGGAAATTAGACCTTGAGAAACTAAGTCAAGGTTTGGCTAGCTGTAAAATGAGTTTAATATACTTGGAACTACACCCCAGAATTTACCCCATAGTTAAGATTTTTAGCTGCAGTCATGCTATGGTATGATTTTTGTTTATAGGATTCTACATAAATGCTCTGATGTTATTGCCAGAAAGTTATCTTGAATGTCTTTGTAGTATACATATTCCATTGTATGTTTAAATCTGTTTCCCTGGTTGGTATCTGATAACATTAAATAGCAGGGGTATAATTTTTGTTACTTTTTCCAAGTGAATAATTTTGAAAGCTATCAGTAGTATTTTTCTGTTTCTAAAGTTTTGCTTCAAACCAAGTTTCATTTCAGATTTACAAAATAATTTTTAAAAACATGATTAACTGATGTTAACTGTTAATATTCTGAAAAATAATTAAATTTTTTATTCAACATCTGATTAACAGGTATTTCTGAATTTTCTGTTTTTATTCTACAGAATGGTAATTAACGCTGATCATCTCTAGAAAATATATTGATTCACCTCATGTAAAGTATGCTCAGTTCCTTTCCAGTGGTGTAAGTATCTAGTCCTCTTAATTTTTATCTTCCCAGCTGTTTTAGTAAAATTAAAAAATCATTGTGATTTTGATCCAGAAGTGATAGCAGACATCTGTAGAGTTGAAAGAATTTTTTCATAATTGTGTGGTAAGGAATTAATTTTCAAATCTGTCAACTTTCTCTTTTACCATTTCTGTTTTCAACTTTGAAGTCTGACATTAATTTTCAGTTGAAGTTAAAATTATTCTACTCATTATTTTAAACTGCTCAATAGCCTAGAAACATATGAAATGGATGGCTAGCCATTCAAGAGAGCTAGTTTTAGATTCCTTGTGACAAGCAGAATGTTGGAAGCATGTTACATTAATACTGCCTTTTGTGTGCAAACTCTTAAGCACCTTAGCCGTTTTCCTTTACACACTGGGGATAACAATGTAGTTAAGCCTATTAGCTAATGTAGTTGGTAGCCTTTCTTTGGAGTCAGGCAAAAAATACAAACTGAGATGGTGGTATTATGTTGAGAGTTTTTTTGTGCTAAGATATGAACTGTATTCTCTAGTTCATCGTAAATAGGCCTCTGAATAAAAGTATTCCGGGAATTTCAGATATTAGAGAAGATAAAGTATCTATTAGCTCATTAAGTGCATCTTTAGAGTCTCAAGGCAGAGTGTCTTTAGCATAAGTATTTTCTAAAATTTGGTGCAGTCTACATTTCAATTAAATTCCTTCCGTTTTGGTTGACATAATTCTATAATCCAGTAAATAGATATCAAGATAGGTTTTCCTTGTTGTTTAAGTTTCTCATTAAAGTTTTTTCCCCTCTCATTGACTCTCTCATATCAGAAAGTCTTTGGAATAGGCCCAGGTAATGTGAACTGTAGCCCGAGTTTCTACTTAGTAGCTGCGTGCGTCCTTGGGAAATGGCAAGGCACAGAATCAGTCTGGGCCTTCGTTTCCTGTTTTATTTGAATGATTTATGTGCTAATGGCTGTAATAGCCATTAGAATGTAAGAATCATGAGGCCAGGAGTTTGGCCTGATGTGTTCCCTTCTGCCTTGTACATGGTCTGACACATAAGGGGCACTCAGTGAATGTTAGTTGTATGAATGATTTAGTCTAAATGCTTCCAGTTCTCTGATTCCACACCTAATTTATATCTCCCTCTCTAAACTTGCATGTTTTTCTTTGCTTTTTTTCCCCCAAATGAATATAAGGTGGATACAATTTTTAAAATCTCAATCTTAATCAGTGGTAATTTAAAAATAACTGTTAAAGTGTGATTGGAGCATTGGAATATAAACCTATTTTTCTTGAGGCCTTTTATTATGAAAACATTTTTATACTGTTATGTATAGTCATAGCCGTAGCTATCTATAGTCACTTTTTTTTTTTTTGCTTTTGTCAGTTCTCCTATTGGTTTGAATTACAGAATCATCTTGCCATACTGTCAGTCTCAGTCCCCAGTAAATCTTCATTTCTTACTTATTCTCACTTCATTATTCATTTTCTTACTTTGACTGCCACTCCTCTGATGGTAGTAATTGTGAAAGAGGGTAATGTGCCATAAATAGTAAGAAGATATCTTTAGTTGATAAATATTATAATTGACTCCAAATTGTGTTAAATCATCATGCAATAAATACCATGTATGCAAAACAAAGCTAACTTATGACTAGGCCATGTATTGCCTGGTCATTCTGAATAAATAGATAAAGGCAACAGAATCAAATGAAGAAAATGCTGTTTTATGCAAAAAAATCTTCTTAACTGTTGATGCTTTACAAGGAAGATAGTAATGTCATTTTTACACATGTGATTTCAAGATTGTTCATTTATGAATGCCTTAATCTGCTTTGCTCTCCATGTTTGTACAATTGAAGAAAGTGTGTTCTGGACCTCATGCCTTATCCAAGGAAGGTTTAGATACATACTCAAGTAGGGATAAAATTTATTGTAAAATAGGTTTTCTCTTTTGGTTTGATGGTATGGTCTGTTAAACATCAGTTTATGAACTGAGCCATAATTCCTGAATTTAATTGTTCCTTTATGCTTTAAACATTGTCTTTGTTATTGCAGTGTTGAAATTCTTCTCACCTCATTTTCAATTATTGTTGGCCTGAGTCTGCATCAGATTAGTAATTTAAAGTGAAAGATGTTCCTTATCCTGTGAACAGTCCTAGTGCTACATAAGAAAATTAATTCAGTTCTTAAATGTTACTATTATCTGTTAAAAAAAATTGCTGATAACATGCCCTTAGATGACCTTTGCAGGTCATTTACGGCCATAATTTCATGATTATGTGCTTAAACTAAATAAATGATGAGAAAGAAAATTTGGAAATGACAGAATGTGTGCCTTTGTTTATGTTATTGCATATTGGAATATTATTCTCGATATCTAAGAAAGCTTCTAATCTTGGCATTTTTGTAGTAAAATATTGTACCTTCAGTGTCATATGCATGATTTGATCCTCTTTGCTGTGTATGTTATTATCATTCTACTCAATATGATCATACATTCCATTCTAGCAATTGTAGATCTTTTTATTTTAGGTATATCTTTGCATCAGGTACCTTTCTTGGTACAAGGGACAGACATCTAATTTAAATAAGGTGTAGTTTAAAGGGAAATGTATGCTGTTACATAACAATACAGCGAGAAGAGTAGGACTGTAGCAGGACCTTAGGAATTACTAGAATGAGGGATATGAACACTGTAGAGCTTTCTCCTTTGCTCTGCATTTCTTGGTATGTCTGCTTTATTCTCTGCAAGCTAGCTTCCTCCACATGGTGAGCATTGTACCAGACTATCATCTTCTCACAATGAGCACAGTTATAGTGACTGTTCATCTTACCACTAGTCTAAGCTAAATATTTTGAGGAGAGCAAGGCTTGGCTTCCTTGTGTGCCCACCCCATTGGCCAATAGGTGGGATACCGTGTGGCAGCCCCAAGAATATGTGGTTGGAAACAATGTAGGCATTCTAGGCAGACAAATAATGGGTACCTTCTGTTATCTCCTTTTATGACTCTTTGGAATAAAAGTGGTTCCGATAGTCAATGAATCTAAAATGATGTAAAATATTTCATTGTTTTAGATATTCTAGAATCTTTAGTTCTGATACTTCTAACACAAACTTTAGGAAGGGTACTTTTCAGTAACAGGTTAAATTCATATGATTTATTTTAGTTTTATGCTAATATACAGAATACTGCTCCATACAGAGGTTTGAAGAGTTATATATAGATTACTCTCTGCTCTGATATAATAGAATAGGAAAACATCGTGATTCATTCAGAGCTTTTTGTCCATATAATAAAAAATCAATTCTTGAAGTCTCATACTTCAAGGTTAGTTCATGAAGTGTTTTGAAAACATGAAGACTAAACTTAGCAAGAGACAAATCTATTTCATTTTCATGGGAAAAGAATAATGTACGGACACCTCATTTTATCAAATCAGTAATTTAAGGGGTAAATTATTTGAATTGCTAAAGGGATTTGGTAGCTGTAAAAATAGTTCCCAAGACTAAGGGATTACATATTATATTACTAAGCATTTGATAGGAGTGGACAAAGGATTGAGGGTTAAAATAGAAACTAAAGTGTTAAGTGTCTCTTATAAGTGACTGGGAAAGTGTTCACATAGCTTTTTCAACAAACTTTAAGTATTAGTACCTACTGAAAAAGTACACAGGTCAGTAATGTACAGCTCTGTGAATGTTGACAGTAAATGTACCTGTGTATTGTTACTATTACAGAACACAGAACATTGCCAACACTGCATAGCATAGTAATGATTGTTTGTGTTAAGTAAGGTGTATTGTTCTTTTGGAATTGGCCAGAGAACAGGTAAATGAGTTACTCTGGTTGAAAGTTTTTCTCTTCTCTTCCAAGCAGGTAATGACATTATTATCGGGGGCATATATTAAACTAACATGAAAGTTAGTAGAGCACAAGTGTAATAGGCAAAGCATTTAGAATAGCTAATAATTGGAAACAAGTGTCCAAAATAGAATGGGTACACAAGCTTGTGGTATATTCCTAAGTGAAGTACTGTTCAGCAGTAAACAGCAACAAACTGCTGATACAGCATCATAGATGAATCTCAAAAACTTGATGCTGAGTGAAAGAAACCTTACACAAGAGTGTATGTAGAAATTCCATTTATATGAAGTTCTAGAATAGGCAAAATTAATCCATGGTAGGAAAAATTCTGGGCAGTGGTTGCTTCTGAGGGAAGAGGACAGAGATTAACCAGGAAGAGCGGGGGCATGAGAGAAGCTACTAAGGTGATGGTAATATCACGTGTCTTCCTAGGGATTTGGTTTCATAGTTCTGTATACTTCTCAAAACTCGTTGCATGGAAAACATAAGATTTGTGTATTTTCTTTTATGTAAATTTTATCAAAAGAAAAAAACAAATACTGAGCTTAGTTGATATGATGTATGCACAAGTATTTAAGGGAAGTGTACAGATGTCTAACTGATTTTGAAATGAATCAAAAAAATAAGATGAATAGAAGGACGGGTGCATAAGGGAATATGATAAGGTATAAAATGCTAATGGTTAAATATAGGAAGTAGTATATGGGCATTTACTGAAAATTTATTTTAACTTTTCTGTATGTTTAAAGTTTTTCATTATAAAATGTTAGAGGAAAAACCTAGGCAGTCAAAGAAATAATCTGGTAACATGAAAATAGGACTTTTATGATGGATAGCTTGTTCCAAATAATAATGGGTAAAAGCAGAAGATAATGTGTATAAGAGCAAGGCAGATACCCATGGGCACAAGTGGCCCTCAACATGTTATTTTGGGTCCACAAAATGTTTTTATTTTTAATTAGCCAGTCTCTAAAACTAGAGCAATTTCAAATAAAATTTTGTTTGAAAGGATTTGAAAGGCACAATGGAATAGAATAGAGATTGGTGTAGGAATTCTCTGTATGATAAAGGTGGCATTTCAGATCACAGAAGAGACGTATTACTCAACAAAGCATACTGGGCAATCAGCTATCCTTTTGGGGAAAAAAAATTAAGCTCAGATCCTTTCACACTAAGTGAATCTAAATCTAGATGGAGCAAAGATTTTAAAAGTAAAAACTATTATTAGAATCCCTGGGCCATCAGCAGTTTTATCTCAGTGGGGTTTTCTGTTTGTTTTATTGAAGTACCATTGATATACAATCTTACATTGGTTTCAAATGTACAACACAGTGTTTCAATGGTTACATATTATTAAATCTGCAGTTACTATCTGTCAACATAGGAAGATGTTGGCTCTTTTCTCCATGCAGTGCTACTATCCCTGTGGCCAACTTATATTGTGATTGAGAATTATCTAAGTGGTTTTAAATAGAGACTTAAAAGAGTACAACAGCCTAGGCCCCAAATCAGATGATACCACAAAGTCTTGCCATATATTAGAAAGCAGAATGATGTATGTTTTGGAGTCAGTAAGATGTAGGTTTAAAACTTTTTCAGCTTCTTCATTAGACTTTTTGCAGGGTATAAAATGACTACTCTGAGCCTTAGTCAATTAATCAATTAATCAATATAAAATTTAAAAAAAAATACAGAGGATTGCTGTGAGGACTAGATGAGATCACATTATATGAAACTCTTGTCCTGTGCCTGCCTAGAAGTGAATGTTCAATAAAATTTTAGTATAGAAGTTGAAGAAACAGATCTCCAGTAGCTTAGGGGAACTAGCCCATGGCAGATGTTTACCTGTAAACATGAAAAAATTCCTTGACATTCATTTCCACCAACAAACACTTATTGAGAGCCTGCTGCATGCCATACATCCTGTTTGACACTAGAACTATGAAAGTAAAAATAGAAGAAATTATCACTTTAAAAAATCTTAAATAGGAGTCAGGTTTTATAAGAAAGGAATTCAAGTAGTGAGAATTTTTATAATATTTTTCTTGACTCTAGTACCTGTGTTACTTAAAGGAAACAGTGTGGAAGCATTTTCCTAAGAAAAATGAATAGTCAGTTTGGCTACAACCACAAAAGATCCATTTTTCAGGATAACTATTAAGAGAAAATGCACTACAATAAGAGATGAAATATGAAATTGCTAAGTGGTGGGAGAAATAGTGCTATTTTAGTAAGTTTTTTTTTAATGTACCTCTCTTTTCCACTCAGATATTTTTGTTGGTTATTAGTATTTGCTTGAGTTTAGCTTACCAAATTGTCCGTTTACACCAAATGAACCTATAGAGTCTGTATGTCAGTTTTGCTGATACTTAGTAAAACAAGATAATACAACCTATTTTTTTTTGTACCTAATCTGCTGTTTTTTTATTATTGCCAAAGCTGAAATTTTGGTTGAGATATTTACCAAATTGCAAAAGTAAATTGTATGCCATAGGAAATTGGGTTGTATGTTATACCTAATGTTCAACTGCTAATAAACTCAATATATGTACCAATCTATTTGCCATGACAAAAACATTCTAGCATGGAGTAATAATAATTACTGTTATAATAATGTCTTAATCATTTTCAGAAGTTGATATAGAAAGTTTGCATCTTCTGCTGAGAATTCTGTGTAATTACATGTTCTTTGGTAGATACTGTAAATAAAGGAACTTTTAAAATGTTTTTTGTTTTGTTTTTTAGTTTGCTGGAAACCATGTCTCACTATACAGATGAACCCAGATTTACCATAGAGCAGATAGATCTGCTTCAGCGCCTTCGGCGTACTGGAATGACTAAACATGAAATTCTTCATGCCTTGGAAACTTTGGACCGTCTTGATCAAGAGCATAGTGACAAGTTTGGAAGGAGGTCCAGCTATGGAGGAAGTTCCTATGGGAATAGTACCAACAATGTTCCAGCATCTTCCTCTACAGCCACAGCTTCCACACAGACCCAGCATTCGGGAATGTCACCATCACCTAGCAACAGTTATGACACCTCCCCACAACCTTGCACTACTCATCAAAATGGAAGGGAGAATAATGAGCGATTATCCACATCTAATGGGAAGATGTCACCAACTCGCTACCATGCAAACAGCATGGGTCAGAGGTCATACAGTTTTGAAGCCTCAGAAGAGGACCTAGATGTTGATGATAAAGTGGAGGAATTAATGAGGTTAGTTCGTTTGCTTATTCAGAGTCCCCAAAATGTCTGTTCTTAGATTGGTTTTGAGTAATAAGCTGTATTTCTCTTACCTACCCATAAGAACTGTTTACCCCTCCCATTTTGGAGATGAAAGAAAAATATTTCAAATTTTTGTTTCTAATTAAAATTTTCTCTTCTCTACTTCAGCTCTTTCTCTGTGCTGCTTGATAAGCTTTTCCATTCTTTATGTTTATCAAAGCAACTGTTAGCCTTCTCTTTACGGCCTGTAATTGCTAACATTGGAATTTTCTAAACTGCTAACAGACACATTCTGGTCCTTGAATCTATTGTACTGCTTTTTCTGGGAGACAAGATGATTTTTATTATGATACAGAATGTGTACACTCTTAATTTTCCCCTCAACATACCAACAAACAAAATAATTTTGAGCAACTGTAATGTAAAAAGTAGTATTTTTAGGGGAAAAAAATAGACATTGTTACTAACCCTAAAAAGCTAAAGTTCTAATTTTAGCAACAGATGCCATTTAAATAAATACATGTTTAAATATGTATATTTATTTAATACTTAATATGTATATATTTGAATAAATGTCTATTTAATGTTATCTGTTACAAGATAAGTGTAAGTATTTGGAGTTTCAAACACTGAGAAAAGATATCCACTTTCAACAGATAATTAGGAAAGGCTTCGCACTGAGCCTGGGACAGTTTGCTGGCAGCAACCATGGGTGTTCAGTCGGGTCTCCAGGATCTAGAACTATCCTTGACACATAGTAAGGGCTTCATATGTTAAGTAAATGGATGAATTTGAGCTACACCTTAAGGAATAGTCTCTGTTTTGCATTATAAGCACCTTTAGAAAAGTTAAAGGAATAGTAAAAGGCAGAAAAGGCAAGGTGTTTTTAGTTTTATAAAGATTGCTGATGGGCTAGACTATCGTACCAAGCAGAATGTAGTAGGAGGCAGAACAGGTTTTGAAAGATGTGAGTTCTGTACTAATAGTTTATGTTTAATTTGGCTGGAAATAAGGAATTTTTATAGGTTTATAGAAACAGATGATCAAACTATTGTTTTCAGTAGATTATTACTGGTGTAGTAGGGGGAGAGCCTGCAGATGGATGAGTTACAGTAGGTAAAGAAATAATCTGTAGCAGGAATTTGTCAGATAAATTTAAAACATAATTATGAGTTACAGTTATTGTTAAAGATTTTAAGGCTTGAAGACAGTATAATGGTGACTTAATATTGCCTATGGAAGCTCTATTCTGTAATACCACAATGGTGAAATATCTTTTAAGCAAATTGTCCTGAATTTAATTTTAGGTGAAACTGCATTATATGGAATTCTGGGCTAAATGAACTATTGTATCTAGATTCCAGTGTAATTCCTGTAATGACTAGTTTCATAGAGCAGCTACAGGACCCTGTTATTTAAGCTTTTACAGCTTAAAAATATAAGAGATCAATTTGGCTTGAATTCATTTTCACTTATTAAGCATCTGGCCAAAGCTCAGATGTTCCTTTTGAATTTAACATATATATCATTGTCATGATTAGGAGGGAGAACCATTTGGGCAAATAGAAGTTATTTCAGTCATTGAAATATAACAAGGTTAGCTTTTAATTATCCCTAGTAGAGAGGATATCGACGGTAAAATGTATTCATTAGGATGCTCGCCTGGTTTTTGTTGTTGGTGCTGTAATCAGTTTTAATAAACTAATTAACATAACAGTTAATTCCCTAATGTGTATAAGACTAACAAATTTGGAAAAACTTTCTTTTTAACAGAAGCTCTGGAAGATTGACCAAGGTCTAAAAGTGGACTATAAGGGTCGAAAAATTTGACTATTAATTCTTAGGTTAACGTAATGTTGTAATTCAACTATGTCCTCAAAATAAACAGAAAACCTATTTAGCAATAACTGAGATTTTTAGTTAAATACAATTACACATCTTTAAGTTTCATCATTAAATATATACATGTTTATACACTGTTGTCAGTATTTAATTTACCAACTTCCACTTGTTGCCTAGTTAGGATACTTTATCTTCTTCTTCTCTGCTTATTTCTTAGAACTGATGCTGTGGTGTCCTCTAATTACCTAAGGGTCTCACTGAATTTTCTGGCTCACTGTGGTCCTCTGCCATTGTACTTTGCCAACACCTACACTCATCCTTTGTGCCCATTTCTCATTTTTCTCAAGTTTGTAAATGATAATAATCCTTTAGGTCAGAGGCAGAAGTTTATTGCGTAACTATTCTCACTTTTAATCATTACAACTCTGCTGTATATGAGGTAGAGCAGAGAAATTGAGATTCACAAAAAGTAAATAATGGTCCCAAGAAAACTTAAATACTAAGTGGCAGAGTGTGAAGTCTAACCCATGTCTTTATTACCATGTCACTGGTGTCTGTTGCCTGTGTAAATAAATTTCTCATACTGTAGATTTCAGTAAGACCTTGGGAACAGTGGTTAATGAAACTCAAGACAGTGTGAGTGCCTTACAGGGCCTACTTCCCATCTTTCCCCTGTGATATTTGCCAATTCAAATCAATCACCTACTAGCCAAATGGATATTTATTTGGTAGAATGTTAGAGAAATTTTTGAGCAGTGTCTCTTTCAGAGTACTCTCTATCCATGTAGGGCTGGATTGCCCTTGCTCGCCACTCACTGCTGTGGTGGTGATGTAGTGCATTGCCTTTGGTGATCCTTAGGTGGGGGGAATGGATACCTGACTGCCTTCCTGCCTCCTTTTCTGCGTGTATCATACGTAATGCACCTCTTGCTTGCTGTCATTCCTCAACCTCCAGAGCACTCAACCATTAGACATGTTTTTCAAATCTCATAACACACGGAGTTAATCCTGTTAATTTCAGGGGACACAAAGGAGGAATTTTGTGGGGTAGAGCTTGATTAAGTTATAACTGTATACCTGATCAACTTAAGAAAGAAACTGCTACTTTTCTATTTTTTAATTGATCAGGGTGGAAAAAAAAGAAACATATGAATTCTCCATAAATTGTTGAATATATCATTTTAAGAAAGACTTTAAAGCCAAGAGCAAGAATAAATACCATTTCACATGTTAATGTTTTTTAAATGCATCTATTAATGTGTATATATATATATACACATATATATGGTATATATGTATATTTGCTAATGTAATGTACACCTATTAAAGTATATCTGTTCTATTGTATTTAATTATAAAATAACAATTGAAAGGCACTTATCAAGAATTAATAAACAATACCATATATAAATATGTTATTCTTAACTACCCATGTATGAAATTTTATGAGTGTGTTAGTATTTTATACAAAAATCAAAGACTTTTCTTCTGAGTTGATTATCTATATGCTGAGTTATTTAAGGTACAGTATTTATGTTCTATAGGTCATAGTTTATACATGGAGAGTATGTATAAAAAAAGAAAAAACTTCTTTTAATGTTATCTTTTAAAATTTCTAATTATGCTTTATCACCATGGATAGACATTAACGGGAGGAGGTTTTCATTCAGACATGAAAGAATTTGTATGTAATTAGATTTGTCCACCTGTGAAACAGTCTGTCTTGATAGGTATTGCTCCATCTCTGGAAGACTTTGAGATAAATGGCTACCTTTAAGGGGTCCCAAAGAATGTGTAATGTTTATCAGCTGAGAGAATATGGAAGATCTTAAAAGCATAACACTTTTAGACATGCAATCTTTAATATCTACTGTTGCAGAAAATGAAGCATTGCCATTTTGAGCTAGCATAACTCTTCCAGTCTGATTTGGGAAGCTCAAACATTTGAGATTAAGAATTTAGAGCTGTTTTATAAATTATGTAGATCAGGTTTTCCATTTTACAACCTTTTTTCTTTAATTATGAATTTGTTCACTCATTAAACAAATTAAGCTCTGTTATTGCAAACCCCATGATGAATAAGACACAGTCTCTGTGCTAAAGGAGTTTACAGATTAGTAGGAGAGAGAAGACCAGATCAGGAACAACTAGTATACAGAACAGCATGTAATATATTAGCAGGGAGTGGTGTAATTGAAATGGCAAAGTTAGCCATCAGAAGAAAAGACCTTTTTTAGCTCTGAGGATCAGGGACAACTTCTCTGATGATAGTTAAATTGTGTCTTAAAAAAGGGTGATTCCGCAAAGAAGCATTACTGATTAATTCATCCAGCTCTTAAGAAAGATCTGTAGGTAACAATGGAAAATTTAGCAAGTTATCAAAATAATGGCAGTGGAGGGTAGAAAGGAATTTTATCCTTATGTGGAAATAGCCCAGATAGATAAATCCAGCATGGCTGTGATTTGGAAAAGGTAGTAGGAGGTGATGTCATGGACTTAAAATGGTTCGATGCAAATAGGGTAGTAGCTATCTAGGAAGCCCGCCACGGAATCAAATAAAGACCAGCCTTTGCTTCACTTTAATTCTGTAAGACTTGAGGAGTAGAAATTGTGAGGAATATATAATTTTGTAAGATATTGAAGAAAAAGGGATTCATTCTCTTTAAAAAGGATGCCAAATTTCAGATGAGGAGAGGAAGTAAGAAGTGGGTGAAGAATTGGATTTGAGGTAAACAAAGGAGTTTTCATACCAGGAGACTGGTGTTGTCAGAGGATACAATGTGGCAGGTCATTGAAGAAGGCTGAATGAGGGGCATATATGAAAGTTCAATAACAAGAGTTCACCTGGTAGAAAGAAGTCTCTGACATACATAAGAGAACTGGACAGGATCAAAGTTGAAGACTCTTACAACTGTGAAAATACCTTGTGAAACAAACTAAATCACACATCTCTGCTTTTGTCTAAATTGAGTTTATAGAAATCTTTCCAGGTGCCTTAAAGTACCCAGTACATATGTTTACTTAATTTTATATAATTAGAGCAGATCATTTGTTTCTTCTTTTCCTGAGGTTCTTTCTGCGGTTTTATAAAATAGTCATTGTTTATGTAGATCTTCTACAGTTTCAAATTTTTTTATATTGAAGAAGTTTTAATGTTATATACATATACACACCCATTTAATATTAGATTGCATTTCATTTTAATTTCATTGCTTGAAGAAAAATCTTAGAAGCTAATGATGGGGGAATCAGTGTTCTCATTTTACCAGATGAAACCAGGGTCCAGCTTTATAAAATGAATGGCCCAAGCTCATCCTTACCTTTTAAGTTTATGTTTTTCTTCAATTTGGAAAAGCTTCTCTTTGGTAAAGCAGTTGACTAAAGAGGTTTTCATTGTTTTTTTTAACTTACTGTGGATATTCAGAAACTTGCCAAGTAATCTAAAAATACAGTCTATGAGAGAGGGTAAATGAATTGCTGCTCTATTGTAGACTTTTGGGTTTCCTTCTGTCTTGCTCCAGTCCTGATAATATCACACTGGAGACTGTGAATAATTCACAAACTGTATATTCCCTATTGGAATAATGGAGTGTTTTCTCCTCTTTGTGATTTAGTGTCTACTCTAAATTAATTTGATTTAAAATAAATCGATTTAAATTCCAATTTAAATCAGTAATCAAGAAAATACTATTTAATCATTTTCCCACAAAAGCACATCTTTTTATTCAAACGTAATAAATAGTCTCTTAAACTCAGTTTTCATTTTCCTAGAAAGATATTCTATACATTGAGAAGCAATGTTTTATTTAAAATTTTTCAGATTAATTTTGCAGCTGTATCATAAACCAGATGCTTTGGTTGTTTCATTTACATAGGCAATTGAAATAGATAACTGCTGAAGTTATCTCTTGCTCAATTGATTATTGATGTGTATTTGAGAACAGTTTTGTCTACATACATTACCTGTATTTTACTGAGCAGTTCATTATTTTGTTTTTCATAATGTATTTTCTTTCAGATACACAATTTTAAAATAAAATAAGGATGCATATTTTTCAAAGAAATATTTCAAATATGAACAAGCATTTTGGAAGGAATCTAGCCAGTATCCAGATAATATGACAAATTTTAAATATTGGATTAGGCAGCTGACTCTTTATTGTCTTCCTTTAGGAATCTTTTTATGATTTAGAATTTCTAGCCATTAGATCAGGACCATGCTGTAGATGTCCAGATTGAAAGCTGTCCCTTCTGTCACTTCTCTGCTCTTTTCCAGAATCCACCGATAACATAGATAGCCCCTCCTCACCCAAGGGGCTAAAATATCAAACTCACACTGATTCTTTTTGGATAGGATACTTTTTTTTATCATTGCTCCAAATAATCTAGAGAGAGACTTGAGCTCCTATAAGGAATTTGTGGTTCATTCACAAAACCATTTGTAAAGATTTAATAATCCCCTTTTGTCTCAGATCAAGGACTCAGTAAACTTTTTTGTAAAGGGCTAGATGGTAAACATTTCAGACTTTGTGGCCAACAGGCGAAATTGAGGATATAATATAAATACTTATAAAAAAGAGAGAAAACAAATGGCCACAAATTTTTATTGATGAAATTCAAAATGGAATAGTAATAATTGAATACTATTTCTAAAATACAGGCTTACTAATGAGAAGAATGGAATTTTGTGGGGAGGGGATAATATTTTGGTTAGTTCATATTCAAAGTTAGTGTTCTCTGACATCAAATAATGATTGCAAATGTTCATCTGTGAAATCCATTCTTAGTTCATAGATTCATAAAGACAGGTTGGGAGGCCAGATTTGGCGCATGGACCATAGTTTGCTAATACTTATAAGGTCATAAGTTACTACTGTTGTGTGTTACTTTTGAGCCTGCACAAAAATTAGTGCTCTATATATGTGATCGTTTTGAACAGAAAGCATTCAACCATTGGTTGGTTTTAATGGTTTATCTGTAATTTTACTTAAGTATTCTGTTCTGGTGGAGAAATAAAGTCTTGCCACTCATCATTCTAGTGAAGGTGTCTAGTCTTGTGAAAATTTGTTGAATTTTTAAATACGTAAAAGTTTATAAGGTGTCTTAGTGGAAGAAAAATTAGATCTACAATATGTAATCCCAAGGGCACAGAAAGATCGTGTAGTTTTCAGGATTAAGTATTCTGTATATTACATGTAATAGGAAATTAATGAGTGCCTTTTGTATTAAAATTTCATATTTAACCCATCCCACTTAAAACTTTTTTGGTTTATACAGGAGAAGAAGACAAAAGGCAAAAAAACCTTTCTTAAAATGGCTAGTGTTCTGGCAGTTGTGAGGAGGAGGATTTCAAAAAAACCAATGGTTTTTATGAACTGAACATTATTTATGCAGTTTCACAGTTAACGTGCGGCCCCAAATCTACTCACAACTGATTTTTGTTGTTGTTGCTTTTTATTTTTCTAGGATTTCTGTCTGTAGGATATATTCATTCCCCAGTAATGAAACTTTGTATATACCATATGGCAGCCTTGTTCCTAATGTGAATTATACACAGCATGTGATTAACCATCCTCTGGTATGAGGCTTGTATCTACTGTGGCATTCACTAAAGCGTCTGTCTGATGGGGTGATGTTTTAGGACTTGAATATGTGGTGTTTTCTTGGTTTCTTTTAATTTCATATTTTCACACAGGCTTGGTCTGTTTACCTTTATTTTTGTGTCCTTTCTATGTTCTCCCCACCTCTCTGCTTCACCTTTCTTAGCAAAGATGAGGATTTCTACCTTCAACATACATTGTTGGTCTTGTCTTCTGTTTTTGTTAGGAGGGACAGCAGTGTGATAAAAGAGGAAATCAAAGCCTTTCTTGCCAATCGGAGGATTTCCCAAGCAGTTGTTGCACAGGTAACAGGTAAGAGCTGAAGAGCCCTTTATTCTGGAATCATGTCTAGTCTCTGCCTTCTGGTGCAGATGTTGGAATATTGCTTGCATTTCTGCATTGCAGTGCAGATCTGTCAGCTTAGGCATAATAATGTATGCCTGTGATTTAAAACCCATTGTCTCCAATATTATGGAACTTCTCCAGTAATTTTTTTTTTTTTACTTGTGCTAGTAAATTTTATAGCATTGTGATAAGCACAAAAACCCCCCATTTTATGTATGGCTAAAAAAGGGTTCTCTGGTTTTCTTTTAATTGTGACAGAGCTTATGACACATGCACATCCAACTGCTATCTACATTTCATATTTTTAGAAGCTTTACAGTCCTCCAAATCTAATCCCTGATTTTGCCAATTGAAAAATGATTCACGAGGTTAAAGGACGTTGTTTTTTTTTAACCAGTTTTCTGTATGTGAAAGCTGTCTTCAAGCCATTACTGAGAAGATAAGAGTTATCATTGTCTTCTCTCTTTGTTCTTTATTTCCCATCCCATTACCCACTCCACTGCAGCCCCATCCCAAGTATGTGGTGTATATGTGTCATTCTCTATTCAGATTGCATTTTTTATGGAGTTCCTAAGTTTTGGGGTAGTATGTCTTCTTTGTTGGTATGTAGTCTTCCTTTCTCTGATTTCAGTAATTTAAAGGACTGTAATAAAATCAACTATGCCTTAGTTATTAGTAACCAGAAACTCAACTGCATTTTGTAGTTGATACATGGTTGTATGTTGTACACTGATAGATATGAAAATTAATTTATTCTTCCCCCTTCTTTTTTTTTAACATGCCCCTAGCAGTTATGTAACTTTAGGCTTTTTAGTTCTGTGCCTCAGTTTCTTTCCTCTCCAAAGAAATAGTTGGATTGATCTTCAATAGTACCTTTTAATTTTAAGATATTATTTCTTTTCTCTAGACATTGATACATATTGAAGCTAATTTACCTAAAAGGTTGCTTTGACCATCAGTTTGGTTAAAAATGAAATGAGATTTCAGAAGTCTTATACTTCATCCCAAGAATCTAAGATTGTATTATATGTGTTTAATATATTATACTAGTAATACATTTTTGTAAATGATGCATCTGCTCATGCTAAAACACTTGAAAGGCATATCCTTTTGTATAGAAATCTTGAACAGAGGACAGTGTGTGAATTTAATTTTTGTAATCTTAAGGTGTTTTTTGGTAAGTTTAAAATAAATTGTTACCTATACCTTTAAAGATCAAGGTATGGGGCTAAGGGTGCCACTAAAAGGGCACTGATGTATGCCATGAAAAGATGGAGTGTTGTCTCTCAGGACTTCACTGCAGCCCCCAAGATTAGAAACAATAGTATCTTCTAGTTTGCCAGCCTGAAGAAAAGGACAAAGTTGTAGTGTTATATAGAACAGTCTTATGAAGTTCATAAAGTTGATTCTGTCCAAATACTTCTGAGTATCTCAAATACTCTGAATCTTAAAACATCTGGACTTTTAAAATAGTAGCCTTTGAAACTCATCTGACTTGATGCAAATTATAATAAAATACCTTTAAAAGGATTTTCTTAATAGTTTCCAAAAGCATTAGCTATACCGTAATGGATTAAACATAGTACATCAAATACTGCTTTTTTGGAAAAGGAAACTAAAAGATGTTTTAGCATCTTGCTACTGAAAATACTGCCATGAAATGGAAGTATCGGGAACTTGTTAGAAATGTAAAGATGAGAGTATCACCTTTAACCTACTGAATCTGAATTTGTATTTTAACCAGAACCCCAGGTGATTTAGGTTTGAGAAGCACTATTCTAGAAGATCGGCAAGCTTTCCTGACATTAACTTCAAAGGAATGACAGTGTTTAACATTGGCCTGCTCAGTAATAGTCACCATGATGCTGTCCTGTTTTTGAAAGCAAGAGTTGAAAATATTTTTCACATTCATTATGCTAAGTCACATGGACCTTTCCTTTGCTGCTGGAATCACAGGATTGGTGCTGTTAAAAACTTCTCCCCCTGTTTCAGCCTCACCCCTACTTAATCTTCCTCTTCTTCATTTCTAGTCCAAAAGCTTAGGTTCATTTTCCCTTGAGCAGGTATCTGTGATGGTTCTCCATTGTGTGAAAAAATAAAAGTCCTTATAATCAGACTCCAGCCGCCTTTTTATTGCCATCTTAGGCAATAGACTATTCAGCGCCCTCCCTAGCTGAATTCAGTACTTGCCATTTCCAGAATTCTGTTAACTTGGGTGCTTACAAATCACTGGTTGTGCCTAGGATGCCTCTCGGATAAGAAGCAATAGTATTTTCTAGTTTGCCACCCTGAACAAAAGACAAAATTATAGTGTTACAGAACAGCATTACAAAGTTCATAAAGTTGATTTTGTCCAAGTGGAAATATTTCTGAGTATCTTGAATAATCTGAATCTTGAAACATTTTGGGCTTTTAAAATAATAGCTTTTGAAACCCATATAAATTCCTGACCTAACCTATATTCCTGTTTACCAAGGTTACCTCAGTTATTATCCTCACTTTGACCTCTTTGACCACTTTAGCCCAAAAAGACCTTTCTATGTTCTGAAACTTAACACTTAGTTCACCACTCTGAAGTACTAAACTTCATTTCAGTTATGCATTTTAGAGTAATGTTCTTTTAAAGCAGCTCTCTTTTCTTACAAATCCCTTTATATGCTCTCTGAAGATTTCCTGATCACCTCGCCACCTTACAAGGTAAAGGGAGTATTGGTGAAGCTGACACAAGCTATACATGTGAAAATTTGTCCAATACAACTTTATCTAGTGATGTTCCCTCTCCAGAAATAATTACTTATTTGCTTAACAAATGTTGCATGAGTTCTTGCCCCTAAAGAACTCACATTTTTCTTTTATCTATTTTAATTATTTACATAAAGCAGGGGAGCGAGGATGATTTATAACCAGATAGGTTCATTGTCCCATTGGTCAACTTACTGAATTCATGTAGTTCTCGTGTGTTACTGTGTTCGTTTTTCATCCAGCCCATCCAGCCGTCAAGTTAAATTTAGGGGCAGGGCTTTTCATTCCAGAAAAGAGATCCAGCTATAGAACAGTGAGTGAGTGAGTGAGTGAGAACTAGTGTAAAGCCTGGGCCTCATAACTGGCCCACCTGGGATAGACTAACCTGAGTAAAGAAGCCTTCTCGGCATGCAGGCCTCATTCATTAGGGTTACCTGATCAGTGTATGCACATTTTTCTGCCTTTAAACAAATTAGTCAAGTGTATCTTAGAAGAATATCTACCCAGTGAAATCTGCCTCACAGTTAGGTTTGGGATGTGGTGCCCCAGAATCTCTGTCCTGTAATAAAATCTCTTAAAAGTCAGTTAAGTTAAACTCTTAATATGTGAATAAATGAAATAAATCAACCTTGAGATAAAAATGGGGAGTGGTGCATAAGAAAAGAAAATGCTAAATAAAAAAGTGTAGTGAGGTGCAAAATTACACATGTGCTTGCTCCAGAAACAAATACAGAGGCTTCTTTTTATAGATTTGAAGGATTTCTATAATAAGATAAACAAGAAGTTCCTGGGTGGGGTCTGTATAAATAATATCCTACTGATAGGAAAAGTGACAGTATAAACAGGATATAATAACAGTGCCTGCTGAATTTCCCAGCATGTTATTTGTAGCTTCTTTCACAGAGTCACAGCTGCTCCCACCAAGGGTGGATTTTTACCTCTGTAAGCGGTTGAGCAAGATTCTAAATTTTCACTAACAGTGGTGGGGAGGGGAGCATGCACAGCTTTTACTTTTAGTAATAAGCACGTGTATTTTATAGTTGCTTTCAAGGTAAAACATTTTCATTGGCTGTTAAAATTATTAAAACATGGTTTTCTTTTTAAACGACTTCTGACAAAAGCAAGGAGGCAGAATAGATGAATAAATGGTTAGAGCTTGAGTGAGTGCCTATCAGTCAAATAAATACCTTAATTGGATTAATAATCTAAAAAATAAAGAAGAAAAAAATTAGCATCTCTGAATTTTAAGAAATGTATCATAATTTTATTTTGTTGAATGATAAGTAGTATAGTGGAAAAGCAAAGTTCTAGTCCATCTGTCGTTAAATAGCCTTGGGGTCCCTGGGCAAATCACAATGCTTTTCTGAACCTCAGTTTCCTTATTTATAAGATGAGGGACTTTGACCAAATATTTTCTAAGTATCCTTTGCAGGTATCAAATTCTATTCTGTTTTTAAAGTGTTAAGTACATTTAACAAGTGTGCATCTTACCCATATCTAGTGACTTACATTACCAAAATGAAAGAATTTGTGTAAAGAGAGCCACTAGACCTGTTTTAGAAGTGATCCAGCTATACTCATATCACTTCCCTTTTTAAATTATCTTTAAAATGAAGGATAACACCAAACTTTTCCACGGAAGCTGTACCATTTTGCATTCTCACCAGCAATGCATGAGTCTCCTTGTTGCTTTGCATTCTCTTCAGCACTTGGTATTTGTTCTTCTCTTTAAGTTTAGCCATTCTAGTGCATATGCAATAGCATTTCACTCTAGTTTTTTTAATCAAGTTGTTTGATTTATTATTGATTACAAGAGTTCTATGTATATTCTGATTGTAAGTCCTTCAATCTGTGGATTTATAGGTATCCTGGCCTGAGGTCTGCATTTTCTTAATATTGTCTTTCAAAGAATAAATCTTCTTGATTTTGATGGTTATATTTATCATTGTTTTCCTTTATAGTTCATGCTTTTTGTGACCTAAGAAAGTTTGCCTCAGTGAAGTCTCAAACAATTCTTGTTTTCTTCGAAAAGTTGTATAGTTTCAGCTAGTATGTTTAGGGCTATAAACTGTGTTAAGTTAATTTGTGTATGTGTGAGGTAAAAGTTAATATGTGTTTTTTTTCCATGTAGATATCCAATTGTTGGAGCAGCATTTGTTGAAATGGTCAGCAGTGGTCAAGAGACTTAATTTTTTCCCTATTCAATTACATGGGCACTTCTGTCA